ATAAAAGGGTAAAAAAACAATTATCATATTTTGCTACTGGCAAATGAGGTTCCAATGGTGTAAAAACTATTACTATCATGGGGGTAAGATTTGGCCTAGAGGGTCATAATTTGGCCGAGGCCATAATATACCCTAGAGTATAAATTGGCCTAGGCCATAATATACCCGGGTATAATCTAGCCTAGGCAGTTTTAACCCCGGGTATACTACGGCCTGTGGGTATACTACAGCCTGTTACACCGGCTGCAAAAGGGGTCCAATTTCATTCGTCGCACCAGGGACCATGTCAATCGCGCTACGACCCACTGGCGTGACCTGTAGCAGCAGATCCCTCTTCACGTGCTCCTCAATGCCTCACTGCTCCAAGACCCAGCGCTGCTGAGCACGCCTGAATTGAGGTTTGTTGTTGTTGTACAAGACGAGAGCTCACAAACTCTGCCAAAGGGGTTACAGACCTGACATTTGCTTGTTCTTGTAACAGGTGGGAGTACCCACACTTTACCCTACCACGCGCGGACTGCCGATGGACTGTGCTTATAAACATTCATACCGATGTCTGAACAGCGACGGTTGAGTGAAGCTGGCTGCGTGTATGAATATGCTATTGCATTGCACAGCACTGAAGCCAGATGGAGGGCAGACACACGTGTCATCAAATTCCTCGCTAATCCACGGATATGATTTTTTTTATTGGTACAAATGTAAGACCTCAACTTCCCCAGTCCATACTTATGCGTCTCCCCGGCAGTGGGACGTCTGCTGCTGCTGCTATTGTTGAGTGACGGGAGCAGATGATGAGGAAGAGACTTGGCTTTAATGGGCCCTCTCCTCCCCCCTGCCGCGACACACCGACACCACCACGCACACCGCAGGCTCCCGCTGCCTCCACACCCAGCTCATCACATCACTTCTCTACCCCTCAGAGCCCCCTACACCCCCACACTCACACCCATAATACATACTCCCCGTACCCCAACACTCACACCCATAATACACACTCCCTGTACCCCTACACTCACCCCCATAATACATACTCCCTGTACCCTACACTCACACCCATAATACATACTCCCCGTACCCTACACTCACACCCATAATACATACTCCCTGTTCCCTACACTCTCACCCATAATACATACTCCCCTGTACCCCTACACTCACACCCATAATACACACTCCCCGTACCCCTACACTCACACCCATAATACATACTCCTGTACCCCTACACTCACACCCATAATACATACTCCCTGTACCCCTACACTCACACCCATAATACACACTCCCTGTACCCCTACACTCACACCCATAATACATACTCCCCTGTACCCCTACACTCACACCCATAATACACACTCCCCGTACCCCTACACTCACACCCATAATACATACTCCCTGTACCCCTACACTCACACCCATAATACATACTCCCTGTACCCCTACACTCACACCCATAATACATACTCCCTGTACCCTACACTCACACCCATAATACATACTCCCTGTACCCTACACTCACACCCATAATACATACTCCCTGTACCCTACACTCACACCCATAATACATACTCCCCGTAACCTACACTCACACCCATAATACATACTCCCTGTACCCTACACTCACACCCATAATACATACTCCCTGTACCCTACACTCACACCCATAATACATACTCCCTGTACCCTACACTCACACCCATAATACACACTCCCTGTACCCCTACACTCACACCCATAATACATACTCCCAGTACCCCCACACTTACACCCATAATACATACTCCCTGTACCCTACACTCACACCCATAATACATACTCCCTGTACCCCTACACTCACACCCATAATACATACTCCCAGTACCCCCACACTTACACCCATAATACATACTCCCTGTACCCCTACACTCACACCCATAATACATACTCCCTGTACCCTACACTCACACCCATAATACATACTCCCTGTACCCTACACTCACACCCATAATACATACTCCCTGTACCCCTACACTCACACCCATAATACATACTCCCAGTACCCCCACACTCACACCCATAATACATACTCCCTGTACTCTACACTCACACCCATAATACATACTCCCCGTACCCTACACTCACACCCATAATACATACTCCCTGTACCCCTACACTCACACCCATAATACATACTCCCAGTACCCCCACACTTACACCCATAATACATACTCCCTGTACCCTACACTCACACCCATAATACATACTCCCTGTACCCTACACTCACACCCATAATACATACTCCCAGTACCCCCACACTCACACCCATAATACATACTCCCTGTACCCCTACACTCACACCCTTAATACATACTCCCAGTACCCCCACACTTACACCCATAATACATACTCCCTGTACCCTACACTCACACCCATAATACATACTCCCTGTACCCCTACACTCACACCCATAATACATACTCCCTGTACCCTACACTCACACCCATAATACATACTCCCTGTACCCTACACTCACACCCATAATACATACTCCCTGTACCCCTACACTCACACCCATAATACATACTCCCAGTACCCCCACACTCACACCCATAATACACACTCCCCGTACCCCTACACTCACACCCATAATACATACTCTCTGTACCCCTACACTCACACCCATAATACATACTCCCAGTACCCCCACACTCACACCCATAATACATACTCCCTGTACCCTACACTCACACCCATAATACATACTCCCTGTACCCCTACACTCACACCCATAATACATACTCCCTGTACCCTACACTCACACCCATAATACACACTCCCCGTACCCCTACACTCACACCCATAATACATACTCCCCTGTACCCCTACACTCACACCCATAATACATACTCCCCTTTACCCCTACACTCACACCCATAATACACACTCCCCGTACCCCTACACTCACACCCATAATACATACTCCCCTGTACCCCTACACTCACACCCATAATACATACTCCCCTGTACCCCTACACTCACACCCATAATACACACTCCCCATACCCCTACACTCACACCCATAATACATACTCCCCTGTACCCCTACACTCACACCCATAATACATACTCCCCTGTACCCCCACACTTACACCCATAATACACACTCCCTATACGCCTCTCTCCCTCCCTCATCTCCCTACCCCCACAGGACCCGACCACATCTTTCGCATCCCCATATGCGCCGTGCCGGTACCAGCGACAAACATTGTGCGGCAGGAGACGTTCTCAGCGACATCCAAATCCACGGTGACGCCGTTCGCTGCCAGCCAGCTCAACGGCGCGAGCAGCAAGCAGCGCGGCTTCCGCCTGAACCCAGAAGAGGGGCATGTGATGAACGCTCATTTGGGGGCTGTCGCGATAGTAAATGTTCACCCGGTACGACGATTATCGCGATATCAATTTCCCACAACTTGGGTAGTTTGATTTGATATCGCTTTGCGCGCGGATCGGGGTGACGTGAAGCGTTCTTCGCAACTCTTCGCCTGACAATCGAAGCTTTCGAAAGCATCAGTTGCACGTGAGATCAATAATAAAAAGAGCACGAAAATTACGACGTTATAATAATGTATTATTATTTATTCAACTTGTTTACCGACGAAAGCCTGAGTCTCATCACGTTTTCATGAGAGGCCTACAGTTTTGGCAGTGCGGGAGAGTGGGGGGGGGTCAATGATTATGTTTATTCCAAAGGAGACATTTGCGGAGTAATTGATTATATTTGGTAAATTTGGACTACGACGCCTCCACACAATGGCTTACTCCTGCAAATGACAACGGGATGTTTGACATCGACTGTGAGGCAGAGGGCGCGTAGTATGTTTTATGGTTTATACGCACACTGCAGAAATAACCAGGGCCGCCGCTGGATTCGAACCGTGACCCTCTTCAACAAATAGGCTAACGCGTTCCCGCTAGGCCACGTCAACAACCACAATGTCTTCAATCATTCCGGGAAATGTTTTGCAAAGCACCAGTTTTGATCAACAATAGCCGCTTATTTAGAAGTTTGCTTTTTTGTACTTTTGTTAACGTGTACATATTTTGTTACGAACAAAAACTCTACAAAATATATATATGACCCATTATAATTACGATATACCGATATTTAGCAAAACGAACGATACGATGATCGTGGACCTTACGATATACACGATATATCGTAGTACTATATCGCCATATCATTGCAAACCTAATGAACTATGCACGAGATGCGACGCAGATTATTTCTATTGCCTGACTTCAAAAAATAAAGACGCAAAACAAACGCGAATAACGCTGCCCTGACAAGGAATACGTACACAATAGGCGACATTTCAGGCAATTACCCATCCTAATATCAGATATCTTTTTGATTTCTTGTATTATTTGTGATCATGCTCCGCTGCCATACGCAGTATCAGACACTTTTTATTCGATAAGAGGCCCCGCGTTATATCTCCTTGTGCCATGGAATTACCCTGTTTATATCACCACGGGTCCAGTTGACGTGACTTATTCTACAAACTACAGGGTGGCGGGTTTGCCCTTACTCGGAGCCACATCTGGTTGAGAAATAAAATAAAAAAAAACAGTTTGCCTCTTTCTCTCCACAGAGTGCTTCGCATATTTTTGTGTGTGTGTTGTGAACTTGTGTTCAGGAAGTGGATGTTGAAGCCACTGATCGGCTGCATTGTGTGCCCTGTGGACCCTCACGCGGGCTTAGTGCGCGTGAGTTGTTGAGGAGGGGGGGGGGTTGTTGTGAGTGATGTCGGAGTTTCTGCAATCCTGATGTCGATGATTTACGATGCTCGTTGGGCCGCGGGGCCGCGGTTTTGAAGAATCCGCCCACACATCGAGTTCCCTCCAAATAATCCACCACGAGCAACAGAAACAGCCCCACCACCACCAGCAGCACCACCTCCTCCTCCTCCTCCACCTTCGCCCGCCCCGGCCCACGCCCTCCTTTAGGAGCCACTCTCCGTTATAACCCGGCCCGCGTCTCTCCTCCCATGCTCGCGTGATAGCTCTGAGGCTGCTTAGGCGGGCACAGCGAGTGTGCAAAGTATACCGCGCCTCGTGTCCACGGCAAGATACTTTCCCGAAGTCCTTTCGAATTATCTTCAGCTGATGATCACGGCACTTTGTCCGGCGCGCTATCCTGCGCGGACGCACGTACGCGCGTGATGATGAGACGCCAATGTCTGGGGTCCCTCATCTGACGCACAGCGAAGGCATCTCTTACCCCCCCCCCCGCCTCGACCCTCCACCCCAGCCCCGAGTTTCCTCGCAGAGACAGAGGGAAGAAGCGCAACAATGGAGCACACCATGTTCGGATATATGAGCCAAGAACACGGCGGGATCCCGCTGCCCGGTCTCCATCGCTTCTCGTTCCCGGACATCTCCGCCTCCTGCGCCGTCTCCACGCCGGGGTTCCCGTGCGCTGACGCCGCTTTCATGGGCAGCGGCGGCCGCTCGTACGTGCACCGCCACCACCACCACCAGCAGCAGCAACAACAGCAGCACCACCATCAACAGCAGCAGCAGCAGCAGACCCAACACCAGCAGCAACAGCCAGAGTGGCAGCAGCAGAGTCCAAGGTCCGCGGCCGTGTCGGCCGTGATGCGGCGAAGCGGCTCTGGCGAGCCCGGCGGAGTGAGGCCCGCGTCTCCATCGTCGCGGTCCCCCACGGGAGCCGCCACGGCCGGGGACAGCAGCCCCCAGCGCCTGTCCTCGTGCAGCTACGAGGCGGCCGCAGAGCTGCAGGCCGCGACCCGAGAGGACAAGGTGGCGAAGGCGGCGCGGAGGAAGAGTGGATCGACCGGAGGCGAAGGTGAGCGCGCACGAGCACGCACGCGCGCACGCACGCGCACCGCACGCGCGTTGGTGCGCCACGTGTCCATGAAGTTGTGTAAAGGTCACTCCACTGCTGGATGAGAGCCTCCCCTCCGCACACGCCGCCAGCGTGTCCCTGGAGTCATATAGATGTGCAGCCCTTTGTCACTCCACTGCTGGATGAGGGCCTCCACGCCACTTATCCTTGCAGTCGGTTCAGATTCATGTCAGACGCGACTGGTAAGCGAAATAGCGTTGTTGTTGTTTGAGCGAGTTGTGAAGTGACGTGTGCTTCGAATACCATCGCCGTGGTGTCGTTCATTTTTTCTCCAACTCGAACGTTTACGCTGTTGTACAAGATCCCTCGGTGTTCGCCGCGGTCGCCAGCTGCTGGACGGCTACTCCGACCACACGCGCGCACGCGTGGAACGCGCTGCCCGTTTGAGCAGTTCTCACACAGTGCTGCAAGTAATAGACGCAAGTGCTACGGAATAAGTAATGTGTCGGTCTACGCGCCTTCATAAATCTAAGCGAACAGAGACGCAATAAAAAAAAACCTCACCATGCTTAACCCTTCCCGCGCACGTGTTCGCGGTGTGCTGTTTTTTTTGTTCATTTCTTTTGACGCAATAACTTTTCACGGCTGTAAATCCTGAAGGTAAAACTCCGTCGTGACGTACCGGCGGCGATGCCATTAGCGAACACAAATCGTCACCCTCATTAGAACCACGATCACTCGGGTATAACAACGCGTGAGATGCCTCCGTGGCATATTTCGAATGCGTCAAACGTCTCCTCCGTGCCCTCGCACGCTTCCTAAAGCGCATAAACGAAGCAGCCTTGGCCGTGCAATCCGCCTTGCGATCAATGGCCCTAACCCTTCAAGAAGAAGAAGAATAATGAGAGCCACATCAAACCAAATTAGTACATTCTCCTAGTGCAGGCTGTCTCCCAGCAGGGTGGAGTCCACGACAGTTTCACAGTCGGGGTGCCATGCTGCGTTGTGGCTTTACACACTTCAATAATTCAACTTTTTTTTATTTCGCCGACACACTGCAGCCCCCGTCTATTTCGAACAACGTCTTTAACGTCATCTGCTAAGCAGACGGCGCGATGTGGTTTTTTTTTTATCTTCTCCTGATTCGGTTCGTCGCAATGATTGTGAACGTCTCCGGATAAGGTAAGCGGTGTACATCTGATGAGGTGGGTAGCCGGGGGGGTGGATGTGCAGGTGACGAGGTGTGTGTGTGTGTGTGTGCAAACATCAGCACTGGGGAGACAAAGGCGGCCGGACGTGGTGTTCACCACACACCACCTCGTGTACCGCTGCGGCTGCGGCGGCGGCCTCAATCGGCGCTCGCAAACAGCACTTGCCCCCTGACAGTGTCTTAAAGCCTCTACGGGGTGGTGGGGGATCTTTGTCTTTGTCGTTCGTGTCGGGGGGGGGGGGGGGGTTGGAACTCGCGCAGGGCGCAGCCCTGAGGAGCCACGGCCGCGTCGCGGAGGAGGAGGAGGAGGGGCGAGCGCCTCGCGGCCTCGCAAGGAGCGCACGGCCTTCACCAAGGAGCAGCTGCGGGAACTGGAGGCGGAGTTCGCGCACCACAACTACCTGACGCGGCTGCGCCGATACGAGATCGCCGTGAACCTGCAGCTAACAGAGAGACAGGTGCCCTGTCCCCATGTCCACCCGACCACTCGCGCTCAACCGCGCGCGCTAAATGATCGGCACTTTTCAACAACAAAAACAACATTTTTTTCTGGCCTGGACTTTTGCAGCTGTTCTAGACTAATTTCAGGGTGCTGATTCCAAATCTGATCTCAGATTTGCTCTATCACATCTCATTTTCATGCTATCGGCATACCCCATTTTCATTGATTTTACCCGAAATTAACTCTGCCATTTATGATTGCAAGTTGTTGCGAGTCAGTGACTGCTTTAGTGTTAAAATATGGTGCTGTATTTTTAGGATAGTGTGTTTATAATATCATTTTATGTAGATATCCACATTTATTTAATATTTTTCTTCTGCAGTTTTTATTGAAAATGCAATATTTGATATCTCAAAAACCTGATGCGATAGACAAAAACTGATGCCAGATTTGGAATCAGCACCACAAAATTACCTTCAAACCCGTTGGAATACCTTATGCCAGAAAAAGTGTGTTGACCAGTGTAATGGAGGCGGGTTTTTTGGCGGGGGGGGATTTGATCGCGTAAATATAAATGTGTCGTTAAACCATCCGCCACCCGACACAGCCAACTAGTAAGGGTTGTCACGTAAACAGAACGTACCAATTCGTCACTAGTACAGCACACCGGTGTGTTTGAGAGTAAATCCACAACATTTACTTTTCGTTTGTAGAACTCCCAATCCGCGGTAAGGTGTGGGGTACAAAAGGAGCCGTCCCGAGGGGGTCATGGGGAATCGGGGCGACCGCCCCGGGCCCCGCGCTTGGGAGAGGGGGGGGGGGCCTCGACGTCACGGTGTCTGATGTAATACTTCCGGTTTAGTAAAAAATCGTCGGGGGGGGGGGGCTCGCACCGCGTGGGATTTGCCCCAGTCCCCCCTCCCCCCATGGATGGCCCTGCGGACAAATGTCACCGATCCTAATATCCGTGATGTTATTCCACTTTTTTATATATATATAAATAACGGATATTAGGGACAAAAGGGGTTTGGATAGTAGTAATTTGAAAGGATCCTACAGCTCCCGCGATTGAAGGAGTCATGCTGATAGTATCACAGATCGGGGGAGTTCTGCGAATTAGTATGATGTGTGGTACCACTTAGGGTTTATTATCAGCTGGGTCCATCCAGGTAGGTGACAGGACAGCCCTGGGTATTCGGCACGGTAATAGGGAGCGGGATTCACCCGCCTTCTGTAAACGTTAGCGTCACGTTCTACTTTGGTCCATTGGTGACGGGCAGCATATATTGCAAAGAGTTTAAAACTAGACGCAAAGCAATGTAGAACTTTAAGGATGGATCATAACCTATGAATAAAACCGGTCAACCCTTGGCTATAATATTTGGAAATTCAAACATTTTATAGTTTCAATTTTTGTACTTTTACTTTTCACTATCTGTTCAATGTTACGTTGTACTAAGAATATACACAACACAAAACTTGCGTCAAATATCAGCTTTCTATCTCTTTTAGACCATCATAATCACTCAATCATGATCGGATAAAAATGGACACACACCCCAAGAACACACAAATGCCGATCAGCGTGTGACAGTGAAACAGAGCGGCTGATGCAGGGCTGTGCCACGTAATTATTGTTACAATCAGTGGGACAAAGCAGGATTTCATCATCAGCAGAATAAGGCAGTTGGGGACACAAGGATGGCAGGACGCGAAACAGCAGCAGCGCCCTCGATAGTGGCATAGATTTCAAATGAGCAGGCGGTGCAATTGCACCGGGGCCCACGGGCAGAAGGGGTCCATGCCCTGGGGGCCAATTCGCTACCACCAGGCCCATGCACTCAGAGCCATGCACTCAGAGCTATATTTCTGCACCAAGGCCCATGCTGTCCAAACTAGGCCCCTAGATTGAAAACTCATTTGTTGAGAACAGCTTTTTATATTTAGGTAGTTGGTATTCCCCCACACCTCTGATGAGCGTGATTGGTGCGAAAGAAGTTCAACATACATGCCCCTCAATAAAAAATAATTCCTGTCAAGTCAATGCTGATGGCACACGTGTTACCTCTGCGTTCCGCCTTCCGCGTACAGTGACAATAGCTGCCCCGCATTCCCCCACGCTTTAATCACTGGGTTATGACAGCAGGGTTAGCCTGGTTGGCATTGGCGAGAAAAAAAAAACATGGGGCCACCTGTCCAATATCACCTGCTCTTCAAAAACTATTAATTCTTTTTTATCTTACCAGGTAAAGCCCACTGAACTATGTAGCTCTTTTTCAGAAGCGACCTGGCCATAAATGATAGTTCAACGAAGTGGCTTATCACGTGGAAATGTATAGGAGCCAAATACTCTATAAACGTATGTATCTAAATGTGGAGGGAAACAACCAGAGGACCCGGAGAAAATGTCACGTGATCACGGGGAGAACATGCAAAAAACTCCAAATATATCGGCATCAGGGGTCAGGAAACCACGGCCTCCTGCACACCAGGCGAGGTAGTAAACATCTCACCACCGCGGCCTGGGCCCCCTGCAGTCCATGAGCACCGCCTGTACGCTCGAGAGCTACAAGGCTGGGTCACGATGTACGCAATCAAAACATTCACATTCATTTAAGTTCCCCGCTCTTTTTTTCCAAGTCTCATCATTTGTTCCACTGCAAGGCATTGCATGTCTCTGAAACAAACCAAAAAAAAAATCTGTAAATATCAAGATGTAGTAATTCTGTGTGCCGACTTCATCTCCTGAGAATAAGATGGAAAGAACGTAACATTGATCAGATAGGGAAAAGTCAAAGCGACAGATTTACGTGATTGAAATTTAAATTATTTAACCCTTTCAAATGGCATGTCACTCTGCCTCCTGCACCTTAATCTGTATAAATGTTTTGCCCTCTCTAATTACACGGCTGAACAAAACGTATTTTTATGAGCCTGAAATTTAAATGTGAAAACGTTCCATTGTTTGTATCGTGTACAAGGTGACTCATAATTCCTGCAATATTTTTGTTTATGAATCAAACGCAATCTTATCCAGCAACTGATACTGCCGCGCTCCAACAGTTTTTTTTCTCTCCATCGATCACTAACAACACGTGGCATTGGTGGTTTTTATGCTTGGAAAAATTTCACACTGATTCTTGCTCATTCTCAAAAGCAAGGTCCTATTGATGATGCGGAAGGAATGGCATTCAGATTACCCGTTGAAAGGTAACAGAAATACCGATATGTTCTCAACCAAATGAAAAAAAACATTTCCACTATGAAATAAAAGAGTGACGTGGTTTCTGTTCTGGGACACCCTGCCTTCTCTTTCGTCTCAGACATAACTCCCATTACTGTCTCCATGAGCTTCGACTCTGCGTCTCTTCACATCTGTTGTCTCCATACCTCGTTCCACCGCATCCTGCCATCCCTCACTCGGTCCCCCCCCCCCCCTCTGCTCCTCCCGCCCTGCGCCGAAATTATCTTCACGGCCCCACGTAGACTCCAGCTTCTTATGGTGACATGTTAACTGCCTCGCCTGGTATGCAGGAGGTAGTGGGTTCGATCCCGACCCAGGCGCCTGTATATTTGGAGTTTGTGTGTTTTCCCCGTGGCCGTGTGGATCTTTCTCCGGCCAGGTCGCTTCTGAATAAGTGCTATAGAGCTCAGTGGTCCTCAACTGGCAAAAAAAATTGTTGCAAGTTTAGTTTGAATAATTCCGCCTCATTTCCCAGGGTGCGGGACACACTGTATGACCGTCACGTTTAAAAAGTATCTGTTAAATAAATAAACAAACTACCGCAGTGGTCAACGTGTAAACGAGCTGCCCCCCTTCCGTGCAGGTGAAGGTGTGGTTCCAAAACCGGCGCATGAAGTGGAAGCGCGTCAAGGGCAGCCAGCTGGGTGCGGGGGCGCAGGAGGGCGAGCTGCCCGGCGGCGTGCACAAGGATCCGCTGCTGCCCTCCGAGCTGCCCACGGGCCTCCGCGCGGGCGGCACTCACGGCCACTCCGCCGGGGACGCCAGCGGCTACGACAGCGAAGACGGCTCGGTCTGACTTCAGTCCCCGGGCGTCGTGGTTGCCGGTCGCGGCCGCCAAAGTCAGGGAGGGAAAGCGCAAAGTGTACGAAGGGTGCGGACGGGTCACTTGGCACGCGAGCGCGAGCGCGCGCGTGTGCTCGTGCACGCGTGTCGGTGGGCTCACGCACATCTGTGGGCATTCCAAGGGGACGTGTGGATGGAAGTGGTCCCTGCTTCGGACTAAAGGACCTCCTGCTGCTGCCCTCCGGGCTGCCCACGGGCCTCCCGGGGGACGCGCCTCACGGCCATCCCGCACCTCCGATTAGCTACGGTGGGCTACGTATGGCGCGAAAGAAGTTCAACACACATGCATAAAAGAGGGCTCCTACCGTAAAAAAACAGCACTGCCGCACATTCTGAACGAACTCGATTGCCCGCAACTTACGTATCTAAAAGGAAGCCCTATTTTTGCAAATGGAAACAATCTAATATTCTTTTGTAAATGTATATTTTTGATATTTTTTAGCTATTATCTCTCGGCCATATGGAACAATGCCTTAAGTCGGTAATGTTTGTACCTGGATAAAGTTGGAATTCATTGATAAAAGGTGTTCTGTGCTGAAAACTCGTTTTGAGAATGAGCTGCCGCTAAAAACTTGCACAGATGTATGGCCAGTGCCTTGACGTTAGAGGCGCCGAGTTAGAAATACGGTTTCGGAAGAATGTGTACGCTTGCATGCACTTATACCAATGTATTCCCCACGTGTTTTTACCAGCCCCTCCTGTGTATTTCATCGTGCCTCGATAACAGCGGCAAACATTTACACGTTTACGACTGCCGATCGGCGCGTTCAATTACACTGGGTTAATGTAGCAATCGTCATCGTTATCATCGGGCTTGGTCCATCCACTGCTGGATGAAAGCCTCTCCCGCCATCTCTCACGATCTGCGATGTGATAATCCACCGAGCACACGAGCGGAGCTCATCGCTTCATCTCCTCGGCCGGCGGCCTCTTGCGACGCGCTCACGGTTTTAATGGATTATTTCGTTTTTCTTTTAGTGCTCCGGAGGACGATGTTTACAGGGTGACCTTTTTTTCTAAAGATAGACATTAACGCCGATGCTCTAATTCCTCTCCATCCTGCGCGCACATGCGTGCGTGCGTGTGCGTGTGTTCACACATTTAATTCACACGGTCAGTAATGAGCACTGTTTGGACCGCACCAAAGTGTCGATGCTCATTTATGCGTGCGGTGCCGGTTCACGTGTTCCCGAGTCGCGATTACTTTTTTCCACAATGTCCACGCTGCCACCCAGCGAAAGGAGAAAAGAGTTGACTGGCACTTGGCAAGTTCCGGGGGAGCTGGCGTCGAGACACGAACCGTGCTGCGGCCCAACGGCGCGCGTCCCAACCAAAATCAACAGAGCCGTTGTATAATTGCTTCATTATTCATTCACGAGAATAAAGGCATCGCAAGAAAATTTTTACGCCGGTGTACAAAGCTTCCGTTGAATTTCTTTGCACGTTACACCCTCCCTACCCCCCCCCCCCCTCTTGCCAGACCTGTCGTTAAGAAAGGAGAGAAGCCGTGGGGGCGGTTTTGTGTGCCTTTCTCTAAACTCAGGGGGTTCTCAAACCCCAGTCCTGGTGAGCCATAGTTACAACCGTCGTGCACTCGTAGCACGCAATGTCAAAAAGAAGTCCGATTTGTGCACCTCCGATTAGCACGGTCCCGCACCTCCGATGAGCACAGTTGGCTACGTACGGTGCGAAAAAAGTTCAACATACATGCTTACATACGTGAACGACTAAACATTTGTATTTGGATGAAGCGGACCTGTGAACGGGAAGAGATGTAAGTGTGGTGGATGGCTCGCGAGGGCTGGATGGAAAAAAAATAACAAAATAAAAACGCCGCCTTAACTTATTACAAGACACGTATGTATTATGCGTGAAATATGAGGTCATTTCGCAAAAAGAGCGGTCCGCTACAGCAGCAAATACACTCACGCTAGCGGAGTGCCAAACAAAGCTGCACATCTCGCCCACTGACCACTCTGGAAAATGCTTTGCGCTGGAGGAATACCTCAACCGTGAAAAGTTATTGCAGCAATTCGCATCAATTGCTAGCCGAGTGTCGTTCATCGGCCCCGCTGAATGCTGGCACAGCGCGCACATCGTCCGTTTTGCCAAGCTGCAGTGGTGGCAGCTTGGTATGTCCTGGCACGACGGGGTGCCAGTGAGCTGGAATGGGTCAGGTCACCCGGGGGGGCCGAGGGGAGGGGGGTAGCCGGGTGGCGGTTAGGAGGATGGGCGCGCGCCCATTCATCTCGCCGGTCAGACAGGTGGTGCAGTGTGATGTGACGGTGTGACCAGGGCTCTCTCTCGCTCTCTCTCGCTCTCTCGGGGGAGTTCGGAGGCAGGCGGTGGTGGTGGCCTTGGATCGTAGCGGCCGTTCCTCCGGTTACACCGTGGAAGATTGAAGCCAGAGGAGAGGCAGGGCAACAGAGATCTCACTGCGCAGTGTTACACGCTGCACGCCCCGAGTCAGGAACCTTCCAAGTCACAAGGCTGCAACTCGCTGTTTTCTTGAAAGGTGCATCGTCAAATGTAATGGTTCTATGGCAAGCTCCATTGCAAGGGGTAGAGTGCCATGACCTATCCCCTTAGCGCAGTAAGCAGGAATGCAGCCACTGTGGGTGTCGTGGGTGTTCAAAGGCTCGCAACATCTTTAGATGTTGATAAGAGGCACACACACACACACGTGGACAAAAATCGCGGTATCTTTCAGTCTGCATTTTTCTCCCTTCAACTGAGATGACATAAATGCCGATTATCCTGATGACAGAACCTTTATAAACACAGAGGAACACACAAACCGGATTCTCAATTCTGAGTCGGATGCCAGTAGTGGAATGGTTGTAATTTAATTATAGGAGAGTTATGCTCCTGTTATCTGTGACGAAGCTCGGGGCAAAATTCGCGGATCCTATATGCAATCTAACCAATAACAATTATCAACTAAACGAATTTATTTAAAATAGTAAAGCCCACTGAGAAATCAGCTCTTTTTCAGAAGCGACCTGGCCACAAATTATAGCTCAACAAAGTGGGTTATCGTGTGGAAATTGACAGCAGCCAAACAATCTAAACGCGTGCCGTTGATTCTATATGCGGGAGTGAAACGCCGGAGAGTAGAGATCCACACGATCACGGGAAGAGAGAACAACTCTGAAGGGGTGGCCACAGAGGTCGCAAACGGGTTTTGATTCCTTACCCGTACCCGGCCGCACCAGGGCCGCAAATGGTACCCGGCCGAGTACGGGTACTCGTTCCCTACCCGTAACCGTACCCTACCCGAAATGAGTGACAAACGGTGACTCACCAGTGACTCACGGCCTACCCGTACCCTACCCGGAATTAGTGACAAACGATGACTCACCAGTCACTCACGGCCTACCCGTACCCTACCCGAAATTAATGACAAACGGTGACTCACCAGTCACTCACGGCCTACCCGTACCCTACCCGAAATGAGTGACAAACGATGACTTACCAGTGACTCACGGCCTACCCGTACCCGGCCGCACCAGGGTCGCAAACGGGTACCCGTACCCGGCCGGGTACGGGTAGCCGGGTATCGGGTAGGGTACGGGTATCGGGTACCCGGTTGCGACCTCTGGGTGGCCCTGCCCTATCGGTGGGCTTATCCTCACGTTCGAGGCATCCGAGGTGCACTGCGTGATTTAGTAAAGCCACGGGGAGAGCTGTTGTGTCTCACCCACCGTCACGGAGGCCGCCGATGCATTGCGTGTACACGGGCCTTGCATTCAGTAACACTGCCTGGATCTGTAATGATACTGTTATACTTAAAAAATAAATCATGAATAACACTGCCTAAACGCAAGATATATGATAGGTGACGTTTTGGGCAATTGCCTTTCCTCGTAGCCCATAAAATGACTCGTCAGAATAATTGCAGAGCCAAAAAAAATGTTTTTTTTGGAGGGTTTTATTTTCTGTACAAAATTCAACGCTATTAAAATATCCCCAATAGTGCGTCAATGTCTGCGTGTTTCACGAACACAACAAAATGCATTTGTTAATTAAGTACATTGTCTAGTTGAGTCCATTACTCAAGGATGAGTTGCATTCGCGTGCAAGATTCTCGTGTATTGCTTCAAGGATTGAAACACATTACTTTGTAGGCAGTTAATACGGGAGAAATGAGATGGTTTCAAAAGCCAGAGAGAGTTAACAACGGAGGTTACGGACGGTGTGGTTATCTAACAGATATCATGAACTCAGAAGTAATTTACCTCCCATATTATCATTGCATTGCAATGATGATGATGCTGATGATGATTTTTATCAAAAGGCAGCTTCATGGCCGATTATGAAAGAAAACAAACTCTGCGTTCCATTCTGGCATGTATGTATGCAATGTATTTCACCGTGCAGTGTTATTACGATGACTCACAGTGACCAACGGTTTGAGGTGGAAAGACACAAGTCATTTTACCATTTTTATTTGTACCCTTCAAAGTCCAATAAATATGCACGCTGCCATTTATTTGAAATGTCAGCAGCAAATTTATTGACAAATTGTTACCATTTGGTAGTTCGCATAAAGCGCTGCTTTGTATTTTAGGTCAATCTGCTGGTTTTGGCTGCCCGCACATTTACAGATGATTTGGACAAATTTACATCTCCAGCTTTCAGTGTGGGACCTAAGCCACATTTTTATAGTCTGCTTTTAAATTTAACTTCCAGATTTCCAGACGTACGTGAGGTCAAGCACAGTATAATGCACACTTAATTTTGTAACTGTATACCGGGATGGTGTTGGGTAACAAAAACAAAATCTCGCATAGTCTTCTTCTTCTTCGTGTGGTTTGGGGAAGCAGTTTGTAGTTTTGATGTCGAAGTTAGCGATCCATTCAACGGCTTCAGGCGAGGCAGAGCGAGTGGGCTCGCGATGCCAAAGGGAACGGATCTCTCTCAGGGCCAGGAGTTCGGCGGTACGCGAGGCGATCGTCTGACTTGGGTGGTGGCCACAGAGTCACGACTTGGGCTGCTCCCTCACTCTCCACTTCGTGGAGGCCCTGTCCTCAAGTTGGTCGAGGGTTATCCAATTTTTGACGTGGTAGGTTGAACTCTGGGGCCTTTACTGCTTGGGGGTCAGTTGCCTGCCGGGTTGCGATCGGTGACGTTTGGCAGTCAACCAGGAGTTGCGCCATCGAGAGGTAGGGGCTGTCATCGGTTCGGAGGGTTTGGGGTGTACTCCGGCAGGGGCTGCGGGATTTCAAATGTGTGTGCGGGAGGTGGAGGGAGTTGAAGTCCTTTGTCAGAGGGAGTGCTTCTTTTTTTACCTTATAACTTAATAATGAAAAGAACCACACCGATGTGCCTAAAGACAAACATTATTAAGCTGAACGTGTTCGCTCGCTCTGACATTTGGATCGAGAAAAACGGACGTTGACAAAGAAAATTTAACAAAAGCTCAAAAGAGTGCGCGGGAAAGCACGGAAAGGCGCACGCTTGGATTTTCACTGGGAGACGGGGAAAGGGGAACCACGTGGTCAATGCACGTTAGAAGCATGGTATTGGCTCTTAAGAAAAGTAAGTGGGTTTGTGCAGAGCACATCGGGAGCAGGGACGACGACTGGTGATGGTGGTGCAGACTGATCATGGATTGGAAGCCGACGAAGGGCACGTGCCTGAGAGAACGTCTACTGCGGAGACGGAGCGATGCAATCAGCTGCTGTGCAGAAGATTGCTGCATCACAAGGCCATGCAAGGTGGCGAATGAAGGGAAGACCTTGAATCCAGCAATGGATAGATTTATATGGTTGACGATGATGAAATACACCTTTAAAGGGAATTTGGTCCCTACATTTAGAGAGGCATGTTTACAGCAAGTCACTTTTCCACCCACCGGGCTGTGGATTTGTATTCTTAAGCGGCGGAGCGTTTGGTAGCAGGCAATGGCACGCGATTGATGATAGGCTAGCATCAGTGGTTCGGGGGAAAACGTGGGCTCCTTCACAATTGGTGCAGGGAAGCAGATGGCACCGCAGGCCCAAACATCCCTGACGAGGAGAGAGAGAGAGAGAGCGATGAGCTATTTGTTACGTTCCTGCAGAGCCGCTGTCGCAAGCCACCCTTGCTCAAGACGGCGCTGCCAAACCCACCGCTGGTCCTGGCAGCGGAGAAGGGCACAGCGCTGCCAGCGGCAATGACCCACGGCGCTGAGTAATAGCTGCTGAATGGACCCCGAGGTGGCATTCTGCCGGTGTGAATTTTCCAAGACTAATTGCCTCCACACTGGGCCGTTCACATGGCAAACAGCGCTCAGCTACTTTTTTTTCTTTCAAAGTATTTACACTGGACGAGCCTGCGGAGGCGCTACGTCTCGTTTTGGAAGCCCGTCCAAACCGCCCGCCCCCCTCCCCCGGTCCCCGCAAGGGAA